TCCCCAGAATCCGAAAACATTCTTAAGACCACCAAACAGCCATCCGCATGTGGTCAACCCTAAGGTCTATTTTTGAGATTTTTTTTTTTTTTTTGGTGAAAAGCAGACTTCAACCATTCGTCTATCTTCGACGAGCCGACCTCCTCCACCACATAGTTCGAAGAAGAAGAAAGAAGTAGTCCGCCAGAAATTTGAATGGATTTTACGAACCAGCGACAATCAATGGAACCAACCAAGTAGTCATATAAGGCATAATTAATCCGACAAGAAGAGAGAACGGAAGGGAACTTCTTCCCTCCCCATGGAACTTCCTACACCTATTCCCGTCTCCACTGAAGGTAAAGGCTCATAAGAAACCGCGGCTTACTCCCCCCACCCCTCAAAACGACCTCCTGCCCTACACCTATTCCCATCTCCACTGAAGGTAAAGGCTCATAAGAAACCGCGGCTTACTTACCCCCCCCACAAAACGACCTCCTGCCCTTCCACTGCCTCCACTGGAAGGTGCCTTCCCACCTTCCAGCCCCAGTTCAGAGCAGCCCCCTAAATCCCTCCTGCTCCCTTAGCAGCATACAATACCTCCTAAAGTATGCCCCCGCAGAGCCGAAGATCACCCTTTCCTCATGTCCCATCCCCTCCAAGTGAAACACCTCGCCACTTCTCACCTTGCTGAAGCCAGCATCGTCCCTTTGTCCTCTCTCCCAACCGCCTTAGCTGATCCGGCCCAAAAGAGAACAAACCCTCAAACCGCCCCTACCCTCCGGAGGATCGCACCTCCCACCTTGCATAACCCTCGCAGGGTGGGGCTCAACCCTGAAGGAGCGAGTTCAATCAGCACCTATGAGCCCAAAAATTGCGATATCGCAGCCTGAGACTCAATTATGACCTACTTTTGGAGGATACCTCAAATCAATTCAAGATATAGGAGCATAAACTTCGATATTATCGAATTCAAAACTTAAGGAGCAAAACTACTATAGGAAACTACCTCAAATTAGAAGATAGATAAACGTAGCACATCAGTTCAGAATTGAGTAATCATGCATTAAGATCAAAGCAAAGCTCTGATTTACGAATCACAGATTAGGATCTTGCTCAGAAATAATGAATAGAAACTCTGATACGAATTTCAGATTAGGAATCTTACCCAGAAATTACGGATTAAAAATTAAGTCAAATTTCAATTAGGGATCAATTACTACCAGAAAATACGATTCGATATTTGAATTAATTTAAGATTGAGAATTAAGATGTAGAACGTACCAATTACAAGTTAAACATACCACAAAAAATTAACCAGTATGACTCCAACAACCAGACGATCACTCAAGAATACTAGCAGAGGGTCTACAGAGTGCCTCTCATCCTTGAAAACCTTGCAATTTCTATCACGCCATGTCACGTCCTTTCTCCTTCCTAACCTCCACCTCCTCCCTCATCGGCTCGTAAGCAACTCAGCCTTCTCGTGGCCTGCAGACTCTGGCGACCATCTGTCATCAGGCTAAAAGATGAAGATAATCGGACCGTAGCAAAAACTTACCTTGCCTCAGCCATGTAGCAAGACACAACCACCAAACCCGTCGATGGCCTCTCGCTGGCAGTCCGGAAGAAAAAAGGAACGTCCATGACGGTGAGACACCTGTCCAACACACACCCCTCTGGTTCGTCACCCTTGCTCAAATAGGACTTTACCGAAAGACGCTGCAGATAAACCATGCGCTTCACAACCCTTTACGAGCAGCCCCTTCATAACAACAACAACCACTTCATGCAATGTATCAGCCTCATCGCCATCCCTCCCATCAACAACCCTGAACCCAAAGCCTTGCTGTGCTCAAAACCCTCGCACCACAAACCTTCTTCTCTCGAAATCACGCCGCGCCACCGTCCCTTCATACCAAGCACAGCCTCTTCAACCCAAAACCCTGTACCCCCCACCACAATCCTTCTCCCTCAACATCACGCCGCGATACCAGCTGCTGTTCAGGACCCGCTGCGCCATCACTTGTTACCGCCCCATGCTAAGCTTCCCTCCATCGACATCGCGCCGCGCCACTACAGTGCCGCTCAATCCAACCTCGCGCTGCGCCGCCGTTGTTGCCGCCCGGTGCCACCCAGTTCAGTCGCACGACAGGCGCAGCGCTCCCGGCCGCGGTGCGCCCCCCGCCCCGCGTTGACTCCAGCGGCTAACAAACAACACGTCATGTTCGCTTTACACAACTCCATAAAAAAAGGCTAGACTATGCCAGACTGAACCAAGAACCGATTCCACAATGCACGTAGCACCGTTGCACTTAGCAAGAAGCATGGATCCCACGAACCAACCGCCGACTCACGTAGCACCGAAACCAAACCAAGCACGAACCAAGCACAGAGTAGCACGAAGTAGCACAAATGCACCCAGTAGCACCAAGTAGCACGAAAGTGGCACCAATGCATGAACCAAGCACGACCAAGCACGAAGTACCAGGCACTGAGAGAAAGAATGGGAGAGAGAGAGAGAGAGGGGGGAGAGAGAGAGAGAGGGAGAGAGGGAGAGAGAGATCCACAGAGAAAGAGAGAGCGTTACCGTAGGCAGGCCGTAGGCAGGTCGCATGGGTCGTGTAGGCTGTAGGTAGGTCGCCTAGGTCGCATAGGTCGCCTGGGTGGGCGTAGGCAAGCCAGTAGGTCGCGTAGGCAAGACCGTAGGGCACAAAGTACCAAGAACGACGTACCAAGCACTGAGGGCGAGAGAGGGAGAGAGCGGGCCAGAGAGAGAGAGGGGGAGAGAGAGAGAGAGAGAGAGAGAGAGAGAGAGAGAGAGGGAGAGGGGGAGAGCCGTATGCTGTCTCTTATACACATCTAGATGTGTATAAGAGACAGGCGAAGCACGAAGTACCAGGCACTGAGAGAAAGAATGGGAGAGAGAGAGAGAGAGGGGAGAGAGAGAGAGAGAGAGAGAGAGAGAGAGAGAGAGAGAGAGAGAGAGAGAGAGAGAGAAAGAGAGAGAGAGAGAGAGAGAGAGAGAGAGAGAGAGAGAGAGAGAGAGAGAGAGAGAGAGACACCTATATGGCCGGCCGTAGGTGAGGAGGGCAGAGGTGAGCGGAGGTGGAGGTAAGGTGGGAAGAGGCAGAGGTGAGGTCGGCAGAGGCAGATGTGAGGTGGGCGGAGGTGAGAGTAGGTGGAGGCGGGAGCGTAGGAGAACTGGTGGGGGAATGCCGAGGGAGAAGTGGCAGAGGAATCCCAACGTGTGGGGGGAGGCGGAGGGGAGGGGATCGGCAGGCAGAGGCAGAGGCGAGGTGGCTCCCAAACGGAGAAGAGGTGGGTGGAGGCAGGGAGGAGATGGTGGGAGGTGGCGGAGGGGAGGTGGGCGAAGGCAGAGAGGAGATGGCAGGAGGAGACGAAGGGGAGGTGGGCGGAGGTGGAGACGAGGTGGGAGCCCGGCGGAGAAGAGGTGGGCGGAGGCGGAGAGGAGATGGTGGGCGCGGGCCGAAAGGAGATCGTGGGCGGTGGCGGAGGGGAGATGGCTGGAGGAGGGGGAAAAGGGGTGGGGGCCGGTCGAAGGTGGGAGCCGGTGGCGGAGTCGAGGTGGGCACCCCGGTGGACTTCAATGCAGGGAAAGCCCCACCCTAGAACGGGCCCTACTTCCAATGGGCGCGCCGATCCCGGCCGCCCGCCGTCCTACCGGCCCAACGGTCCGGATTTCTGCATGATCTTAAGACTTTAAGATGGCCCGCCGATCCAGGCCGTCCGGCAAAGCGGGCGGACTGGATCGCCACGCGATCTTAAAGTCTTGAAGTCTTAAGATCGCACGGAAATCCGGACCGTCGGCCGGTAGACCGCAGGCGGCCTGGATCGGCCAAATCTCACGTACTGAATATCGATGTCTATAAGTGTAGGGATTGGAATGATACAGAGAAGACAAGCATGGCCCCTGCACATTTAAGGATGACACACATAAATCAGGAAATGGTCCAACGTAGAGAAGACTAGCATTAACCCTGCATGACACAAATAAATCAAAAAATGGTCTAACATCTCCGCTAAAAAGCAAACAAATGACAGGCACTACCTATCCCATGTGGCCAGACGGTACACCCATGTAACAGTTCATAAGCAGACCCGAGTCTGAGTTCCGATGGAATAGCCGACCTTGCAATACCTGGGACGGGTCAGCTCAATCACAATAACTCAAGGCGGTTGCCATTTACAGGGGGGAGGGGGGGGGAAGAAACGTACGCTCCAAAAGCGGCTGCTGTGTAGGCAATCTGGGTGTTGTTATGTTCCTCGCCGCACCACTCACCAAATGTGAGAAAGACAAAAACTTTGGCAGGCGTATCTGTCCACATTCTAGATAGGGATACATTCTCCATTAGACTCATTTAATGAGAAGTGCAACAAGGATTTATGTGTGCTGCATGAAGTTATGTACACCGCAATCAAAAGAGAAAACAAACAGGCTCATAGTCTGCCATACAGCAAACGGCAAACAAACTCTCATCCGCTACGCACCCTATCTTTCTGGGCGTGCAAGGGGGGGGGAGGAGAGGGAGGGGGGGGATGGTTGGGGAGCCAATAACAGAAAAACAAAAGGAAAAAAAAAAAAGAAAGTCAATCTATCAAGTGGACACCCGAAGCATCAGCGGCATTCCTACAAAATCCGGCATAATCCGGTACAATGTGCTCGCCTCCAGAGTGCAGTAACTGCCCATAGATCTGCAGATCCAAGGTACAGATTGGTTGCTGATTGTTTTCCAAGTCCATTACAGCACAATCTGAACTGTCCGCCATCTCTAAAACCATCCGCAGCCCATCCAGACTATCAGACAACAACAAAATGAAGGGCGAGGATGGAAGGTCAGTCGCACCTGTGAAACAGCATTTGTTATGATGTAGTGCTATGCATTAATTGAGTGTTGGTCAATAGAGTTATGCCAGTTGGGTCCCAAATTGAGTGGTCTGATATTTTGGATTCTCTAGTGGACATCCAACAGACGGTTCTGGAGAAGAGAAAAACTAACCTTCGCTCTGCACTTGTTCATTATATCAATGAATTCATTTCGCCCAATTCCTGTCAGCCGAAGGGCATCCGCGGCAGAGAAGTTTGGGATGGTGTCATACGATCTCTCTGCATCATACAAGGATTCCAAAAACTTCATTTGTCAACATAAATGAAGAGTGAGTTGGGTGTGCGGAACTCCATGTTGTCGGCAACCCTCTGCTCCTCCCCTCGGCAAGCATCACCTGTGCACGTTCCCCGACAAGTAGATGAAAAAGTGATATATAGAGAAACAAGCACAAAGAGCAAACAAGCAAGCATCATCTTCAAAAAGTCCTTGTTTACCTTGTAATGACCTGCAAAATCACAGACTGAGAAACTGCTGCTGCGAACTGTGCTGTTTTCGGAGTTTTGCCACTGGACTGTATGACTTGCTGAGGTTCCCGCATTCTGCTGAGACTTCCAAGTACATGTGTGTGGATGATTCCTGAGTTTCATGTGTTTGTCTGTCTGCATGATTGCCTTGGTGTTTGTGTGACCCGCAAGGGTACTTGTATGCTGGAAAGGCCGTCGGATCTGGTACTTACCTGTGGCCATGCTTTTGTGACGGTGCAGCTGGAACTTAGAATCAGGCCAGGCCCAAGTAGTAAAGAAAACACTAAAGTAGGGTTAGATAGGCAGAAGAAGACAAAGTTAATAGTAACTTAATACCCTTAGAGGCCAAAGGCCTTTTAGAAGTTTGGTAGGCTTAGAGTCTAGGGGTACCAGTCCAGTACTCTGAGTCTAGGGTGTTACGATCCTGGCCAATTTCGAAGTGCAAATTCACAAGAAAGTAGAACGCCGTCCAATTGCAAAAGAAACTGCGTACGGATCCAGGCCACCCGGCCGACCGGCGCCTGCCCGGGGGAGTTCCCGGGCGGCCTGGCCGGGCGGGCGGCCCGGTTGGGGCCCGGGCCCCCCCAGCACACCTTGTTGGCGGGGGGGTTTCGACCCCGAATCAGCGAGATGTCGCCTCCCCAGGGCCTACCGGGTCCGACCACACCGAGAAAACGGCGTGTCGGGCCCATGAGGCCTGTTTTTTTTTTTTTTGAATTTGGGACGAACGGGGCCTCGATACCTGCTCCAGCCGCCTGCGTTCGTCGTCGAGTCGCCCGTCATCGAAGTAGCTGCCCCTCGTCGCCATCGCCTGGGAGCTTCACTCGCCCATCGTCATCGAGTCACCCGTCACCCGTCGCCAGTGTCGTTGATCGCGGTGCTCCTGCCTGCCGACAACCCCTGCCGCCTGTCGACGTGGAGTGCCGGTCTGTTCTTCTTCTTCTCCTTCTTCTTCTCCTTCTTCTTCTTCTCCCCTCCTCCTCCTCCGCTCATTCTTCTGCTTCTTCTTCTCTCCTCCTCCTCCTCCCCCTCTCATCTTCCTCTTCTTCTTCTTCTTCTTCTTCTTCTTCTTCTTATACCTCTTCTGCTTTTCTTCTTCCACGACTTCTTCACTCCTCCTCCCCTTCTCATCTTCTTCTTCTTCTTCATCTTCCGTTGTCGTCCTCCTCCTCCTCCTCCTCCTCCTCCTCCTCCTCCTCTTCCGACCATCTTCTTTTTCTTCTTTTTTTTCACATTCGTTAGCGATAGGTCACGAGATAAATGACAGGTGAGGAAAAAAAAAAAAAAACTGCTCCGCTCGTCATCTTCTTCTTCTTCTTCTTCTTCGATCATTCTTCCGCCTCTTGTCTCCTCCTCCTCCTCCCCCTCTCATCATCATCATCTTATTATTATTATTATTTTTCTTCTTGTTGTACGACCGCCGCCATACCCCACCACCATACCATACCGCCCTGCCGCCGCCGCCATCTTCTTCTTCTTCTTCTTCTTCTTGTAGGACCGCCGCCACAGCCCGCCGCCA